CTGGATGGCTGTCTCTGAGGTGCCTGAGGGGGGGGTGTCGCAGAGCCCGAGGGGACCCTCGGGGTGTGGCACGTGCCCATCTGTGTCATGCCTCTGGTAGGCTGGCTACGGCTGGGACTGACTACCCTGGGGGGTTCTCAGGCAGGGTCTTGGGCCCTCCCGCACCCCCTCCTGCGCGAACTCCACGCTAACTCACGCGCCAGCAGACAAGCGCGCCTGTTTGCGCAGCCTGTTCGCGCGGCTCCGGTAGCGTGGCTCCCTGGGGGGCTGGATGAAATAGGGGCCTGGGCAGGGGCTTGACCCGGCCGGGCTCCATGCAGCCGCCTCCTCCCACTCAGAGAGGGGTTAACCCCTTCCCACCATGAGCCCTGCTTGCCTCCGGCTGTGCTGGGGGTTGGCAGGGGGTTCTGTGGCTGCTGGGGGGTGTCTGGGGGGCTTCAGGGGAGCGGGGGCACAGTGGGCTTTCACCTGCACGTCTGTCACCACTCCGGAGCCTAGCTGGGCTTTTTTTGCTGTTTTGAAAGAAGTTATGTAAAGAAGTTTTTTCTTATGTCTAGTCTGAAGTGATCCTCAATCAGCTAGTGCCTGTTATTTTTTGCCCTCCCCTAGGGGACCTTTGTATCAGCCATGTCTGTTGTAAGAATTAAAAGCAGCAGAAAAGGAAATTTGCCAAAGCAAGGCGATCTAGCACATTATGTATGGAAGTACCAATGCTGGGCCAATATTGGACTCAATTTTACAAAATAATAATAATTTTTACATGAAAAATGTTCCTCCAAGTCATTTATATAACCCACCTGTAAGATTAACATGTACAGAAGAATGCATTTTAAAGGTGAATGAAAGACCTGATATCTGTCCCTCAGATCACTGTGTTTCTTTTGCAAAAGCCAAGAATAGAAGTGTCAGTGCCACTTTCCCAAGATTATTGATATTCATATATGTAAAATTAAGACTATCATGTCAGTTAGTTGGTGTAGGATTGGGGCATAGTACAGTATGAGTGAAATTCACTGTGGGTAAATGAAACAGACATTAACAAAGGCCGTCTGTGCTCAGAGATGCTGTTTCTGCATCAGGCAGACTGTACAGTCAGTGGGTTAAATAACATATAATGGTCCTATCTGCATAAACTGTAAAATTGCCCTTGTTTCTTTTGAGCTTCTTTATTCTCATTTAGAAATGTGCATGTTTTCACTCTGCCTTCAGTTTGTTTTGCTGCTTTATGTATTAGATCATCCTTCAGAGTCTAACATGCCTCTGTGCACCTGGAATACAAATGAAAACTGTTATAACTTCAGAAATAAAAGCTCATATTGTTGCAGGTGATGGATGTGTGTAGCTACAGAAAACTCATGTTTGGCAGAAGTGCAAAGCAATGTGACTGCACTTTTTTGGGTCTCATTTCCCATAGGCTGATGGCATAGCTGCCTTGCATGATAGAGAAACATTTGGGATGGGATCTTGAGCCAAGAACTACATGGTTACATGACTCTTCCCTTGTGACTGAGGAGTGACTCTGACATACAGCCCCTGCCTAAGTTGTTCATGGTTCTGGCACATAATGTAGTTTTGCGGTGCCTTTGTGTGGCCATTTTGGGGAATATTCAGAGTCCAGTTCTGGAAAAAGTAGAATTTGGAGGATGAGGAACTTCCTCCATTTCCTTTGTACATATAAATTAACTGACATTTAACATACATACATACTTATTATTTAAGAATGCTGTTTTTCGCCAAAAGTTTCAATAATCATTCATCCAGACTAAATCAAAAGGGAACATACCTATGTCATGTTAGTCTGGGTCCTCCAATTCCAATGTAGTCTTGTGTTAGCTGTAGAACTAAAGAATGCTAAATGAAAGAGAATCTAAATCCTGGCTGTTAAGTCACAACATCTTTCTTGATATTTTGACAATGAGAAATTTGTCATGATTGTTCTACTCAAACTGGAACCCAATGCAACGTTTTACTTTTCTGAGTGAGTTGAAGTCTGTAGATGCATTTAGAATGAAGAGACCAGTATAGTTCTGTTTGAATCTCACTAATTTTATTCAGTTTTTTCTTTCATCAGTTTCAGATCAGCAACGAAGAGAGAAACTCAGGAAGGAAATAGCCAGGTACAAAAAGGAGATGAGTTCAGCTAAAAACTCGTCACGGTCCAGCTCCAGAGGGAGTGGAAAGCCACTGTCATCTACTTTTGAACAGGTACTTGATTTAATATTGTTATAAGGTTTAGGTATTATGGGCCATGTCTTAAAGTCTTTATTTAGCTTTCACTTGCTCCTTGCTAAGGCAAACTCCTTTGGATTTTAAAAGGACTTTCAGACCAAGTAAAAACTAAGGAAGAAACAAAGAATTTGGCCTTTTATGTATAAACAAAATGTAAATGATTAACAGTTTATATTCTCTTGTTGACATGCATGTCCATGCAGTGGTCTAGCTTCAACTGCTACCCTCATCATGTTGTGTATTAAAGTTAATCAAAGAAGTTAAAAAAAGAAGAATCTTAGCCCTACGTTCATCACAAATGCATTGCTTCTTACATTCTCCAAACAGGACTCCTGCCTGACCTGTAATAACTAGAAGTTTGCAGTGTATCAACGTCTTTAATCTTGCTCTTTTTGCTGTGCACTTTATCTCTTCCTCCCTGCTGCTGAATGACCGAGAGGCAATTAATGCCATGGTTTTTGCCTCTCAGCCACTCTGTGGCAGGGAGGGTGAGGATGGGTGGCAAAAAGCAAAATTAAGGCACCCTCTGCCCCTGAAACTTCCACCTCAGTTTAGATAGGTCCCTAGTAATAACTTACTCCCTAAAGTGGAATTTACCCACATGGAGCTTGAATGTGCAGGCTCTGTTTGGGTAGAGTGTGGGGAATTTGAATGAGTGAAATTCGATACACACTCAATTCAGGCCTTGGACATAGGGCTGTTTCAGCCAGTGTGAAACAGTATTGGCCATATCCCTATTTTACAATGCACTGGGGGCAGTGGATTAATATCAGTGCAAATAGAGAGTCCCTACCCAGGTCTTGGATTGTGTTCAGCCCAAACCTGAAGCAGTCTTACGTGTCAGGTAAGAGCCGAGACCTGTTCTGCAGAAGACAGGAAAGGTAGCACTCTGCTCAGCCAATTAATTTTACCTTCTGTATGTAATTCCTGTGCAACACTGAAGAACTAAGGGAAACCATGTGCCAGGCTATTCACAAGATTAATTGCTGCTATGGAGGAAGTCAGAAGATTTGTGTTCAGTGTCTCTAGTATTGTTAATACAGAAAGTGAAAAAAAATTGGATGGATAACGACACTTCTGCTGATTAAGTAAGATCTGTTTATTTGTGTTAGACAGTTACATCCTGTTCCATTTCAGTAACAAGCTAGAGAGATGTCCCCTAAAATGTCAGGTATGGATGTCAGGTATTATAATACTGGGAAATTTTTGACAATTAATTAGCCAGTACTACAGGTACTTTTCATCAAGAAAAAAGCAATTTGTGTGGTATTTCTGCATTATTGTGTGTGGTTGTGTTTTACAAAATCTACACAACTGTAACTGTCACAGGCATCTGTACAGAGTTTAAGAAGTGTCTGATGCAGAACTGATATTAATTAACACATATGGAGAAAAGTGAACATACTTTTATTTTCCTTTTCTACACAACTTAGGGATGAAATTCATTGACTATTGATAACTACACTTTCAAACAGCTCTCGTTGCTTAAAAGTGGATCTTTCCCCCCCTTATTTCTTGCCTTCTACTTAACCCATAGAAAAAGAAAAAGAAAAATTTGCTATTTTTATAAGTTGACTTTTGCTAGCAACAGCTTTATTCAAATATATAGCATATACTTCCAAGTAAGCAAAAAATAAATTGCCTGGATAGATTATGTTACCTTAGTAAGTGTTATTCACTACCCTGGGGTGGAATTGCATTAACCAGTAAAGAAAGCTTTTATCAACTTAGTATAAAAAAAATCGCATTATTTTTGGTATGCTAACTTCAACATGGAGTGCTTGATATATTCAGAATTTTTTATCTGTTTAAAGCATGCCAGAAATACTGTAGATTCCCTGGTAATACATAAAACTGGTCATTAGTTTGTTTCTTTCTGCTTGACTGTATTTTGCAGTCTACAATTTGAGTAATGACTTTATTAAAGTATAGTGTAATAATACTTCTTCAAAATTTTATGCATGACTCTTGGGTATGGATGAAAGTACAGGCCTGCATAAGAGAGAAATGTCAAACTAAAAATGTGAAATCCCAGATTTTATTCACTGTACTTTTTCCATGTTCATTAAATGCAGACCATCAGTTAAATTTACTCACAAACTGTTCTTGTGCAGGATGTGAGTATACATTAAAGAAAGTATCCTTAGTGTTTGAGAGCATCGTGGCTACTTGTGTTTATTTTAATTTCTATGCCCATACATAAAGTTATTTCAAGTAATAACTATCTCACTTAGCACTGCAAATTACTTGTAGGTACCTCTCCATCAATATGGAACTTGCATAGTTTCATGGTGACTGCAGAGTAACTGTCAACAAGAACATTACAGTTTTTCTTCTGTTTGGCAGCATTTGAATGATAAACTGATAAACTGCATGTTTGTGTGCAGACTTTAAAATATGTAAATACAATATTTTAGAAGCAGTCTTGAGGAAGAGCCAAGTGAGCAAAAACAGTAAGCTAAAAACAAGGTGGGGACTTAGTGTGCATCACCTACTCCACAGAACCTCCCATATGCCTGCACTTAATCCAGCAGTAAATGGAAGCTAAACCACAGTAACTTAATGTATTCTAAAATGAAACAAGACAATCACAATTTAGTCATCCCTGTAGGGTAAATGCAGGCCTGCATATGCAGTTCTTTAGGTAGATGTGGTATGTTTTATTAGGGCAAATAAGTAGTTGGAAAAACAATTCTAACATTGCCTTTTATTAGGGCTACTAAGTAGTTGGAAAAAGCCTTACCACTGCCGTCTGTCTGTCCATAACGCTCCGGGCCAACTGTGCATGTGCAGCCTGGAACCTTAGGACAGACAGACGGACAGGCACAGGTGGGGGCCAAGGCAGGTGGGGCCAAGCTGTGGTCCCCGCCATGGCAACCGGCTGTGCAGGAGCATGGCTTGCAACCGAGGGGCGGGGGCAGAGGGTGTGCCATGTGGCTATGTGGGGGGGGGCAGGGTGTGCCGGCGCAGGATGCCAGGATGGGAGTGGGTGGGGGTGGCTGGCAGCACCTGCCAAATGCAGGCCACGGGGTGGGGCACATCCCCCTGCCTGCTCCCTGCAGGGCACCTTGCAGCAATGTCCTACACTGCACGTCAGCACCAAAACACAGGAGGGGCATGGCGTATGGCTGCGGGCAATGGGGTGCATAGGTGGGTTGGTAGGTGTGCGTGTGGCTGAGTGTGTGTCATGTGAGTGTGGGTGGGTGTAGGTGTGGCTGGGGTGTGTGTGTGTGGTGTGTGGTTGGGTGGGTGTGTGGCATGTGGGTATGTGTAGCTGGATGTGTGTCTGAGGTGGGGGGGCACACAGGGTCAGACACAAAGTGGAGGGTGAGGGGTTGCATGCAGCGGGATGTGGGGCGGCAGCAGCACAGGGCAGTGGGGTGACACTGTCCCTGCTGCCTGCCTGTCATTCTTGACAGCACTTTGCTAGTTTATTATAATTTTCTAGGTATAGAATCTAATTACTGGAGGCCTGCCTTGAATTTGTCCTCCTTCCACAGTTGCAGCAGGGAAAATAAATTTGGGGGGCCAGGTAGCTTCCATGCCCTCCGCTGTACCACTTCATAGAATCCTAGAAAATTAGGGTTGGAAGGGACTTCAGGAGGTCATCTAGTTCCAACCCCCTGCTCAAAGCAGGACCAGCCCCAACTTGGTCATCCCAGCCAAGGCTTTGTCTAGCTGGGTCTTAAAAGCCTCCAAGGATGGAGTTTCTACAACCTCTCTGGGTAACCTGTTCCAGTGCTTTACTAACCTCCTTGTGAGAGAGTTTTTCCTAATATCTAACCTAAACTTCCCTTGCTACAACTTGAGACCATCACTCCTTGTTTTGTCATCCATCACCTCTGAGAACTGTCTAGCTCCATCCTCTTTGGAACCAAACTTCAGGTAGTTGAAGGTTGCTATTAACTCCCCCCTCAGTCTTCTCTACTCTAGACTAAATAAGCCCACTTCCCCGGCCCTCTGACCATTTTCATTGTCCTCTGCTGAGCTCTCTCCAATTTGTCCACATCCTTTCTGTACTGGAGGACCCAAAACTGGACACGGTACTCCAGAAGTGGCTTCACCCTTGCCGAATAGAGGGAAATAATCACCTGCTTCAGTCTGCCGGCAGCACTTCCACTAATGTAACCTATTATGCTGTTAACCTAGGGGCGGGCAAAATATGGCCCACAGGCCAGATCCAGCCCACCAGACCATTCTATCCGGCCTGTGGGGCCCCTAAAAAAATTAGCATATTAATATTTATTTGCTTCTGGCTTCCTGTCAAAGCTGAAAAGGAGCCAGGGGCAGTAGGACCCAGGGGGAGCCCTCAGT